AGTCTGTCAGTCACTTGTCATCAGTCTCAAAACATCCCTGGCTCTCCCTCTACACCTCACACAGCCTGCAATTTCACCTCCTCAAACCCACCTGCTTTGTTGAGGAACAACAGGACAGAGGACAAAGTCTGGAGCAGGACCAGAGCGACCCAAAGGGAACAGCAAGCCAAGCGGTGCCGAGCTCCCCGGTAAGGCAGGGATGATTTGCATTTATTTTAACTCATGCTCAGCGGGACATGACAGCAAAGCTGCCTGCGTGGGTCTACACAATCCCTTCAACACACACAGGGGCTTCCGAGCCCCGGCACAGACTGCGTCCCAACCTCACCCAGGTTGCAGGGCGCAGACAGCCGGGGTGCGCCGGGACACCTTCCCTCTGCTCCGCGGTTCGCATTGCCACGGCTTCCTGTTGCCATGCGTGGGAAGGAGCTAGGAAAAGCCAGCAGACCTGGATCTGCACCTAAAGCACTCCCAGGTCCACCCCTGGGATCCCAGCACTCCGCTGGGGCTCCCCTCCAGAAGGGGACGCAGATATAGGCCTGGGAGAACCCCAGCAGCAGCTGAAGGGCACAGTGAGCTGGTACCCAGGGGCTGCCACCCTGGCTCATGGTGGCACCGGCAGACCCCTGACCTAGTGACCATCGTGCCGCCGGGGACAGACCGCGGGGTCACAGCCACGGCACACTTTGCGTGCTTGCCGGGTATTTTTAACACCGCTTTGACTCACAAGGCTCTAAAAAGAGCACACGGATGCTCCAAATGCTTTTTACCTCTTCCACCAAACACCCCCGGAGCCCAGAATAGCCCCACGACTCCCCTTCGCAAACAGGTCCCTGTTGCAGCCTTCCCAGGAAAGAGGAGATCGGTTTCCAGCCCGTGGGAGGGAAGCGAGAGCTGGACAGAGGAGAGGTGCAGAGCCAGAGCGGGGCAGCGAGTTTGTTTACAGGCACAGACCCAGCGTGTGGAGAGACTGCTGGAATAAATCCTTGGCTCCGGAGTCGTCCCTGCTCTCCGTGAGCCTCCCGGCCCCTCCGCCTCATCTTTCGGCTCCGAAGGAAGATCCCTCCCCGTTACATAACGGGATGAGCGCCGCAGGGATGCGGGCTGGCACACACAGCCTCCCTTTCACTTAACAATACCTTTTTCTGTCATAGAGCCTTCCTCTCCCCAGCTGCCATCAAACTGACCGTCAGGGGAGACGGATGGCGGCTGGCTCCAGCTATTTCAGCTATGGAGAAGAGGGAAAAGAGGTGGGTGGTGGGATGCTTTGTGCCTAGAACAGTGAAAGGAGCAGGGTAGGGCCATCCCGTAACCAGCAACAGCGTGGTCCCAGCATTCACCTGATGCCACTGGAGGGGATGCTATGGGCACCAAAGTCCCCAAAGAGAGGGGGATTTGCTCTCCAGAGAAGCTGGACCCCCCGTTCTTGGTGGTTTTGTGTTGGTGGTTCTGCTCTGGCACAGGACACCCTTGGTGCAGAGCGGTAGCCAAGCCCACGAAGGCAGCTGCAAGAAAGCCACAGGAGCAGCACACTCCTCACCAAATACAAGCTGGCAGAGGAGTAGCCATCCATCAGAAACCCTCTTCCTAACACCCAAAACTCCGCTAGGACACCTCCTTTCTGCCACCTACCACCGAACCCAGCCACTAATGGGAACGGACAAGAACCTTGTGGAGGGATGATGCCTGCTCCCCCTTTGTGACCAGTAACACAGACAGGCTGAGTGCCCATCTGCTGCCCCCGGTTTGTCTGTCTGTTCTCAGAGGCGAGAGCAATGATGCCTCGAATAGCACATGCTCCCCAGAAGAGCTTCTGGTATTTTCTCCACCCGGAAAGGGTACCCAGACGCAGTGCCAGCCCGAAGGCCAGTGCCAGGGCTGCGCCAGGTCTGGCCAAGCAGCGATCAAGTTGCAAATACTTGAATGGAAGAGAAATGTCACCAAATCCACGCTGTGTCCCTGGACAGGCAGCTGCCAGCAGGTCTGACATAGAGGCTTCTTGGTCTGCTCCAGACAGCAGCGGCCACCTGGGCCAGCTACAAGTAGAAGAAGTCTCAGCCACCATTCTGTGTGGCTCAAGGACAGGGTGCAACGCCAAGGCAGCACAGAACCCCCATTCTCAATTTTCCTCCACTGTGGAGGTATCTACATCTTGAACATCCATCTCTGGTATTGTCTGAACTCCCGTTTCATACAAGATCACAGCCTTCAGGACAGGCAGACGCTGTTCTCAGGGCAGTTCCTGCACCCACTGAAGTATCCTGCCGAGCCCCAGCCTTCCACATGGGCTTCCAGGATCACTAAAACCTGTCACCCTGGATTCAAGATCGAACCACCTCTCCTTCAGGAGACCAAAGGGCTGTCCCAAGCAATGTCTTCCAGGTTGGGGTGGTGACTACAGCAACAGAAACAGAGTAGGAAAGTGTTCCCTGCAGCAAACCATGAGCAACACCACCCCCTGGCAACAGTTCACACTGTG